GATGAAGTGGTATATAATAGAAGAGAAGAAGCTGATAGGCCGATCTCTCATGTGTCATTGCCCTTCAGCCAAAGACCTCCAGGAACACACCTGTAGCCAAATAAACTGGGTGCATTACTCATCGTACCAAGAGGGAATGGACTCCATAAGGAACTGTGGCATGCCTCAGTGAGAGGAAAGAACCTATTATGGGGTTTGGGCTTTGAGTAATTTGGGGGAAGGTCGAACAAAGCAGGAGCTCACTCTGGATGGGGATAATTCTATGATTATCTCACTACATCTTATCTGCAGTAAAGGCAGACTCAAGCAGTAGAAAACTATGATTGGTAAAGCAGCAGTCTTGTTTAGTGAGAGAGAGAGAAATTTTGTGGTGGTACCTTGTCTGAACTGGGGAGAGATCTGGCCTTTATGGCCCTTAGAGGACAACAAGCTTGCTGACATCTTGACTTTGGACTTCCAGCCTTCAGAACTGTGAGAAAATAAAAATATTATGTAAGCCACCCAGTGGTTTGTTGGTATTTTGGCATTCCTAGCAAACTAATACAGACTTATTCTATATAATAAAAGCCTAATATGCAAATTGCTCGACCAAGAGTTTGACAGGGAGTTTGACTACTCACTATGACATGTGCTGATCACCATGGGGCAGTGCAGAACATTGTGGGTGTTGGCAACGCAGCACTGGCAGTGGGCAGCAGTGGAGGCACTGCTGGCCCCGATGGGCCCCGACAAGAGCAGGACAGCAGTGAGATGGTGGAGCAGGTGAGCAGGCAGCGCTAGGTCAAGGCAGGTATGAGCGAGATCCTGATTGCCCTGGTGACCACCCCACAGATGGTGACCAGCAGCAGTGACAGGGGGAGGGGGAAGGGAGAGGGCGCTGCCCATCTCCCATACTCTGAGGGGGATGGGCGGGGGGGGAGGGAGGAGGGCGGGGAAGTGGTCAGCCCCAATCAATCATCCCACAGGGGATGGTAGAGCAGGTTGAGGGGGCGGCACCAGGCCATGGCAGGATGCCAAACAGGGCTACAAGGCTGCAAGGCTGGGGGCACAAGCTGGGGCCCAATCCCCACTAGCCACCCTGAGGGACCTCACCCATACATGAATTTGTGCACCAGGCCTCTAGTAACCAATAAAATGATTGAAGTAGTAAACAGAACTCTTCCCATGAAGAAAAGCCCAGGCCCAGATGGTTTCACTGGTGACGTCTACTAAGCATTTAAAGAAGAATTGATACCAATTATTCACAAAAAAATACACACAGAGAAAGTGAGGGAACACTTCCTAACTCATTCTGTGAGGCCACTATTACCCTGACATCAAAACCAACAATGTCACAATAAGGATGTCCAATATCTCCTTGAATATAGATGAAAAGCCCTCAACATAATATTAGTAAATCAAACCCAGAAACATATGAAAAAAATTATATACCATGACCAAGTATGATTTATCCCAGAAATACAAATTTGGTTTAACGTTCAAAAGTCAATCAATGTAATATATCAACAGAATAAAATACATCATCTCAATAGATGCAAAAAAAGGCATTTGAAAAAATTCAACACCTCTTCATGATAAAAGCACTTTACTGACTGGGGCTAGAAAAGCATTTCCTCCATCTTATAAGATCATCTATAAAGAACCCACAGATAATATCCTATATAACAAAAGGCTAATATGCAAATCGACCAAATGGTGCTATAACATGCACTAACCACCAGGGGAGCAGACGCTCAATGCAGGAGCTGCCCCCTGATGGTCAACACACTCCTACATGGGGAGCGCCACTTAGCCAGAAGTGGGGCTTATGGCTGGCACGTGCAATGGTAGTGGCGGGAGCCTCTCCCACCTCCACTACAGGCAGGCAGTAAGGAGCAAGAGGCCCATCCCTTGGGGGATGGGGCCTAAGTGGGCAGACAGACATCCCCTGTGGGGTCCCGGGTGCAGGCTAGGCTGAGGGACACCAACCCCCGCCTCCCACCCAGTGCACATGCACCAGGCCTCTAGTCATACTTAATGGTGCAAGACTAAAAGCTTTCCCTCTATAATCAGGAAGAAAACAAGGATGCCCACTCTTGACACTTCTATTTCCACATTATCCTGGAGATTCTAACTTTTGTCTTGCCATTAGGCAAAAAAAAGAGAAAGAAAGAAAGGCCATCCAGATTAAACAGGAAGAAGTAAAATCATATTTACAGAGGACATACCCTGTCTCCATATCCAGGCTCTTCATCTCGCTGAAGATGAGTGGGTGACAATGTCTTCTTGCTTGGAAGGAAGGTGTTCTCTTCCTATTTCCAACGCTTCCAGTATCACACAGCCCAGGTCCCTTCTCTACTGTCCCACCACCTGCCTGTGTTCTTACTGCTGGTTCCCATGCAGCCTTTAAAAACACTGAGGGAACAGCTATTAGTGGTGCTGTCAGTACCCCTGTGCTCCCTCCCAAACACACACACACACACACACAACAATTTGTAGAGCTTGAGGTCTTGTTTGGAAGCCCATTGATAAGCATCTTCTTCCCTTTCTGCTCACATCTACTTCTCAATGGTGTATCCTGACCTGGCCATTGAGGTAAGCTACTTGCCCTGGGATCTTTGTCCAGCACTTGGCTTCTGGGGAACCTAACACTGTGACAGATCGTCATAGTAGGTCCTCCGTGGACTTTGACCAGCAAATTAATAAAATTGAAATAGAGTAGAATAGGAAATACCAAGAGTACACTCTGTATTTGTTTCAACTTGAGACTGTAAATTGTATCTCTTCCTTGGGACAAAGGCAACAATACTTGGGAAAATCCTGCTCTGAAGACTTTCCATTGTTTTTTAAACAAATGTCAACATATGAACATTTTTTAAAAGTACCACTTTTTTAAGAGCATGTTATGGAAAGGCCAAAAAAGAAGTACCAGGTTTTATGAATAGGAAGGTGCTTGGTTTTTCTATTCCCTCAATGTTGTGATTACTTAATTTTCAAAAACATTTACAATACTAATCCTAGGAAGACTCCGGTGAGAGTGACATGTATGTATTGCTGATGTCATTGTAAACCACACCCTTTGAGTTGGCTCAAATGCCTATAAGTCCTGGTATTTATGCTAAGAGGAAAAAAAAATAACTAAACCATGACATGCAGAATCACGTACACTGCAGTGTTTTATGTTCAAAAAAAAAAAAAAAAATAGGAGCAACTTAGATGTCTGGATTTCGAGGGAGGAGTTTGAAGGACCAATATCTTCGGAAAGAGAGGCTTTGGAGTTGAGTTTTACAGAAAGAGGAGGAATTGCCCGCCGCTTCCAAAAGAAGCCGCACCGGGTTGCTGGGGGAAAACTCGGTTCTCAGTGGCACCTCCGCTCAGTTCTCCGGAGAGTCTGATGGGAGATCCACTGCCATTCAGTAGGCTCGAAAAACAGTGGCACAGCGCGCTCCTGGACGGAGTCCAGTACTCACACTTACAACCTGACTTGGCATAAGACAGCAGAGGTAGCGGAGGCAGTTACAAGGTTCCCAAAAGAATAATGATTGGCAACGATCTGTCCCTTTTAGGCCCCAAAACCACATGGGGGGCGGGGCCTGTGGACTCACAATCCCCCTGTCGGGTTGTAAAACCCATTGTGCTTGGAAGAGCTTCCCAAACCACGGGGCAATCAGTACCCAGGTTTCCGAAACAAAGCATGTCATGTTATCATCATCTTTTTCTTGGCCTGGGGATATAAATGGAAGTGAAGTCAAGAAATTGGGGGAAAAAGTTTTTCGACGACGAAGTTCATACATTGAACACTGGTCCCGTTCAAACTCTTTGTAGTTAAAAAAGAAGTACAAACATCTGGCTAGGAAAAACAAGGGTGCAGCCGGAACCGGTTTGGCTCAGTGGATAGAGCGTTGGCCTGTGGACTGAAGGGTCCCAGGTTCGATTCCGGTCAAGGGCATGTACCTGGGTTGCGGGCACATTCCCGGTGGGGGCTGTGCAGGAGGCAGCCGGTCGATGTTTCTCTCTCATCGATGTTTCTAGCTCTTTATCCCTCTCTCTTCCTATCTGTAAAAAATCAATAAAATGTGAAGGAAAGGAAAGGAAAGGAAAGGAAAGGAAAGGAAAGGAAGGGAAGGGAAGGGAAGGGAAGGGAAGGGAAGGGAAGGGAAGGGAAGGGAAGGGAAGGGAAGGGAAGGGAAGGGAAGGGAAGGGAAGGGAAGGGAAGGGAAGGGAAGGGAAGGGAAGGGAAGGGAAGGGAAGGGAAGGGAAGGGAAGGGAAGGAAGGAAGGAAGGAAGGAAGGAAGGAAGGAAGGAAGGAAGGAAGAAAGGAAGAAAGGAAGAAAGGAAGAAAGGAAGAAAGGAAGAAAGGAAGAAAGGAAGAAAGGAAGAAAGGAAGAAAGGAAGAAAGGAAGAAAGGAAGAAAGGAAGAAAGGAAGAAAGGAAGAAAGGAAGAAAGGAAGAAAGGAAGAAAGGAAGAAAGGAAGAAAGGAAGAAAGGAAGAAAGGAAGAAAGGAAGAAAGGAAGAAAGGAAGAAAGGAAGAAAGGAAGAAAGGAAGAAAGGAAGAAAGGAAGAAAGGAAGAAAGGAAGAAAGGAAGAAAGGAAGAAAGGAAGAAAGGAAGAAAGGAAGAAAGGAAGAAAGGAAGAAAGGAAGAAAGGAAGAAAGGAAGAAAGAAAGAAAGAAAGAAAGAAAGAAAGAAAGAAAGAAAGAAAGAAAGAAAGAAAGAAAGAAAGAAAGAAAGAAAGAAAGAAAGAAAGAAAGAAAGAAAAGAAAATGAGGGTGCAGTGGGTGAGCATGAGAGGCTGGGGCGCAGCCTGCGGGGCAAGAGGCCAGGGGAAACGGAGCAGCGGGTGCGCTCCGAGCCCGGAGCCCAGCACCGCCCCGCGGGCAGGAGCGCAGAGGCCCCGGTCGGTCCGGGCGGGGCGCCGGCTCCCCCGCCCCGGGGTGTGGCTCCTGCGGGCGGCGCGGGCGGGGCCCCGCGTTTAAGGCTTCGGCCCGCGGGGCCGGCTCACTCGCGCTCCCGCCACCGCCATGGCACCGCCGCCCGCACGCGCCCTGCTCCTGGGAGCCGCCGGGCTGCTGCTCCTGCTGCTGCCCCTCTCCTCTTCCTCCTCTTCGGACGCCTGCGGCCCCTGCGCGCCGGCCTCCTGCCCGCCGCTGCCCCCGCGGGGCTGCCCGCTGGGCGAGACCCGCGACGCGTGCGGCTGCTGCCCCATGTGCGCGCGAGGCGAGGGCGAGCCGTGCGGGGGCGGCGGCGCGGGCAGGGGGTTCTGCGCGCCCGGCATGGAGTGCGTGAAGAGCCGCAAGAGGCGGAAGGGTAAAGCCGGGGCAGCAGCCGGCGGCCCGGGCGTGAGCGGCGTGTGCCTGTGCAAGAACCGCTACCCGGTGTGCGGCAGCGACGGCAACACCTACCCCACCGCGTGCCAGCTGCGCGCCGCCAGCCTGAGGGCCGAGAGCCGCGGGGAGAAGGCCGTCACCCAGGTCAGCAAGGGCACCTGCGAGCAAGGTGGGCACCGGCGCTTTCCCCTCCGACCCCGCCCCCGGGCCCGCGCGGCTGTAGGACGGGCTCCCCCTGGCGGCTCAGACCCGACAGGGCGGCGGCCGCCGGTGCGCCCCGCGCAGGTTCCCGCACCGCCTCCCGTGGGCATCCCAGGGACCAGATGCCTCCCGTGGGCATCCCAGGGATCGGATGCGAGGAAAGGAATTGGCAGCCGCGGGGATGCCAGCAGAGAAGGGAGACGCCTCCTCTTCTCTTATTTTGGAGGTCTTAGTTTTAGCGTTTGCTGCGTGCACCAAGAAAGTGGGGACTTGCAAGGCCAGTGTGTGTGTGTGTGTGTGTGTGTGTGTGTGTGTGTGTGTGTGTGATTTAGCGATATTTCAGACTCCCGAATCCAGCCCAAAAACTCACCCAACGGATGCTAACAGCTGGCAAATCAATTCGCAAAAGCAGTGCCCTCATTCTTTGGCGAAACAAAACATGTCATGTTATCATCATCTTTTTCTTGGCCTGGGGATATAGATGGAAGTGAAGTTAAGAAATTGGGGGAAAGAAGTTTTTCGACGACGAAATGCGAAGTAAGGGCTTTCAGAGAGAAGTTGTTTGTCCCGCCTTTAGATGGCTAGATTGTCAGAACTATAAAGCCAAGATTTCGTGGTTTCTTAATATTGAGAAAATAATTCACTTTCTAGAAATGACAGATTCTGAAACAGCAATGTAGCAAATTATTTGTGGGCAAAAAAAAATACAGACCCTTTGAAGGATGTCTGTAGTTTTGCCATGACTCTTATGATCATTTTGTTTTTCTTTCTTATTCCCTTTTTTGTGTTATGTGTCCCCAGGATGCACTGTTCAGCAGGAATGGCTTTGAGGTTATGTTTAATGGTTTATTTTATTTCAAACAAGTCCAATCTTGCCATAAATGAAAGTGGAAAATAACTAGAGTTCAGGCTTGGGGGGAAAAAACACACACAGATTTTAACTCTAATGCCTGAAATAACATTTTCCATGGGCAGTTTCAAAAAAAAAGGTTAGAAATCCAACCTAGCGACCTTCTCCTGGGTTGTGGGAGCGCGGCCATTCTCTTGAAAGGACAGAAGCAGTTGCTTCTTTCACAGCTCAGACTTTCCCCAAACTTTCCAAATGATTCCTTTTTAGAGCTTTTCCCAGAAGTCCATGTGCTAAGAGGTCGTATGTCACCCATTTCAGAGTTCACTATTAAAAGCCTTAAATTGTGTAACTTACTGGTACTTGTTTTATTATCACTGAAACTTAGAAAGTCACAACCCAAAGTAGTCTGCATCTTTTTCCAACAGAAACAGTCGTTTGCTCCTTTGGATCAAAGTCCTGTCATGAAAGAGAAATGCCCATAGCTTAAGAGTTTATTCCACATGTTAAGATTATCTTAAATACCATAAGGGGAATTTTCCCCCCTGATCGGAGTAGAAGGTTAGCTAAAGAAAGTTAGCTTGGCCCTAACAGATTTGGCTCAATGGATAGAGAGTTGGCCTGGGGACTGAAGAGTCCCGGGTTTGATTCCGGTCAGGGGTATGTACCTTGGTTGCAGGCACATCCCCAGTAGGGGGCGTGCAGGAGGCAGCTGATCGAAGTTTCTCATCTGTTTCTCTCTATCTTTCTTTGTAAAAAATCAATAAAATATATATATAAATAAAAATTTAGAAAAAAGAAAGTTAGCTTGGTGATGGTTTAAGTAATATCCATTCTAGCTCGTGTGGCAGCACTGTGCTAGGTGCTATAGAACAAGGAATACATAAAACTGAACTGGTCCTTTTTTAAAAATATATATATATATTTTATTTCAGAGAAGAAGGGAGAGGGAGAGAGATAGAAACATCAATGATGAGAGAGAATTATTGATCAGCTGCCTCTTGCAAACCCCCTGCTGGAGATCAAGCCCAAAACCCAAGCATGTGGCCTGACCTAGACTCAAACCGTGACCTCCTGGTTCATAGGTTGACACTCAACCACTGAGCAACACCAGCCAGGCAAAACAGAACTGGTCTTGCTGACTAAGAAAGTATTCATACAAGTTGCAAACTCACTTCCCTGAGCGCTTCCACTGGAGCCCTGGAGGCACTCCCAAATCTTCCCTTATTTTATGAGATCACCACTTACCCTCCTTCTGTAGAGGAACTTTGTCTGCTTGTTTGCTGTACCTCTGTGATAAGAGGCAAAGCCATCTTCCTGAAAATTTGTTTGAAAGGTAATGAGCTAATAATAGCATATCTTAGACCTGTCATCATGAATTTACTGCCATTAGATCTTATCAAGGTCCCTGAAGTCATGAATAACTGGAAGAGAGAGATCAGTTTAATAAAACGTTAATATGGAGAAGCTGAGATATATAATAAGATCTCACGTTGGCAGAGAACACGGAGTGCCTTTATTCCAGTTCTTGGTTACTTCCTGTTCATGGCTCTATCAATCTGAGCCCCTGGGTAATGCCATTTCAACCCCCTTTGTCCCTTTGAATCCCATCTTCTCTTTTCCCCCCTCAGAATTAATTTTCACTTGTGAAATCAGAATTCATTCTTAAGGGTCTGCCTTATTATACCTTTAAGACCAAGTTCAAATTACCTAGCAGGGAATATGAGGCTCTACACAATAACTCTACCCTGTTATTTTGGCCTCTTCCCAACTCCTTTAAAGTCCAGCCACAAGGCTTGCTCTTTGCTGCTGTTGGCAGTCATACCCACACTCTCACCCTCACTTTGAACTCTTAGTTTTCAAGGATCAGTAGGTGTCACTTTCTCTGTGAAGCCCCTTGATTCTCCCACCTCCCAGAGATGTCCTGTCCTTTGTCTCTTCCAGCCATTTTTTCAACAATGTTTATTGCACATTTACTGTGTACATGTAAACAAGAGCTATTCTAGCGGAACAGTTAAGATGCTGAGCTCTAGAACCAGGCTCCCTTGGGTGTGAATCTTAACTCTGCCACTTCCTTAGCCTTGAACAAGTTACTTGACCTCTCTGGGCCTGTGTTTCCTCACCTATAATCTAAGGACTATCATTAGCCCTCTCTCATAGAGTTGTGAAGAGTCAATATTTTGAAGACTATTCATAGAAATAACCTAATGAATATCCATTGTTGTCATCATTCAACCTTCAAGTAAACTCCATGAAGGAAGGGAATTTTTGCTCCCTCATCTATCCCCAAGGGCCTGGATCAGTGCCTGGTACTAGTAGATACTCTAGATATATGTTGAATGAATGAATGAATGAATGAGTGAATGAATGAATTTTCCAGGTACTGTTCTAATCTCAGCCTAGAATAAGAAGAGAGGCAGGATTGACCCCTCTCTGATGGCAATTACTGTAAGCTTTACACAGAAATAAGTAAACAGATAATTTCACACAGTCATATGTGCTGTGAAGAATGTGCAACAGGGAAGTAGGATAGAAACCAGAGGTGGAGGAGCAACAGAAAGTGGGGTGGGTCAAGCCATGCAACGGACCCATGTGGGGACTTCAGCAAAGGGGCAGAGGTGACAACAGCTCTGCTCGCTAGTACAGTGCCTTCCGCAGCCTCCGAAGCACGCTCTGAATGTCTGTCTTCTGCACAGGCTGGGAGCCTCCAAACAGAGAAGCTCCCGCTGTAAATCTTTATAAGCACAGTGGCTGGCTAATAGTTGGACACTTCATAAATATTTGTTGATTAAATAAGGGAATCTCTTAAGAAAGTGCCTTCCGCCGGGACCGGTTAGGCTCAATGGATAGAGCGTCGGCTTGGGGACTGAAAGGTCCCGGGTTTGATTCCGGTCAAAGGCATGTACCTTGGTTGCGGGCATATCCCCAGTAGGGGGTGTGCAAGAGGCAGCTGATAGATGACACTCTCTCATCGATGTTTCTAACTCTCTATCTCTCTTCCTTCCTCTCTGTACAAAATCAATAAAATAAAAATAAAAAAATAAAAAATAAAAAAAAAGTGCCTTCCCTTCTGGAAATGCAGGCAGTGGACTCTCCCGGCTGTCTGCTCTCTCTTCTCCCTGTATCTTCTGCCTCTACAAAGTCTAGGCCAGGGAATACATCTGGCACTGATTCATCTTCCCATCCTCTGCTATCCTGAACTCTTAACATTAGATTGTCACCCCTCCCACACACCCAAATCTCAACATTTCCCCATCCCCTTGCTGGTTAGAATTAGGTCTAAATGGGAAAAGCTTCAGTGACGATTTTCTTTTCAGAAACTCATTTTGATGGACTTTAAACATTCATTCTTTTTGGAATATCGTTGTATGCTCATTTTTATGTTAATAACATGTTATTTAAATACCTGTTTTCTATTACTGTTTTTTCCCATGAATTTGTGATATTGTGATTTATAATAAATATATAAATTAGATCTTTATCCCATGTAGCTACTCAAACCTTTGGAATTTTCCAAGTGCTAAGAGTAACAAGGTGTCTCTTTCTTTCTTTTTTTTAATATACTTTACTGATTTTTCACAGAGAGGAAGGGAGAGGGATAGAGAGCCAAAAACATCGATGAGAGAGACATCCATCAGCTGCCTCCTGCACATCTCCATTGGGAATGTGCCCACAACCAAGGTACATGCCCTTGACCGGAATCAAACCCGGGGTCCTTCAGTCCACAGGCCAATGCTCTATCCACAGAGCCAAACCAGTTTCGGCAAGGTGTCTTTTTCTTAAACTAAGGAGGTGACTTTCAGTAAGCCCCTAAGGATAGGGGTTGATTGCCAGTGGAGCCAACCATGTGATTAGTGGGTTGGAACTTTCAATCCCACCCCTCCAACCTTCTGGGAGGAAAAGGAGCTGGAGATTGAGCTCAGTCTCCAATGATTGAGTGATTGGGTTGACTTAATCAATCATGCCTATGTAATGAAGCCTCCATTAAAATCCAAAAGGGCCCAGCAGGCGTGGCTCAGTGGCTGAGCATCAACCTGTGAACTAGAAGATCACGGTTCAATTCCCCGGTCAGGGCATATGGCTGGGTTGTGGGCTACATCCCCAGTGTGCATGAGGCAGCT